TGCAGGGTGGTAGAGGGCATTATCAAAAGTTATTTGAGGTACCAAGAACCTGTTTGAGGACCTGGGAATTGTCATAGGGGCACTACATAAAGTCCCAAGTGGCATGCCAGGGGAAATACCCTAAAGAGTTTCGTTTAAGAACTCTTTGAAGAGTTATTGGTTAGTAGAAAGGGAAGGAAGGTTTGTTTATGTGTTATTGGCTATTGTGTTCCTACAGGGTATAAGAGGTTACACAAACTGTGTGTATGATTTCCAATGGGCCACATGGAGAAGGCTTTAACCAAGGTTCTATTGGGGTTTAAGGCTTCCTTGAAGTGCTTAGCACTGTGCCTGGCACAAGGTAGGTGTTTAATAAGTGTTTTTTTTTACCTTACTAGTTAGAGGATAATGGTCAGAAGAAGATTGGTGATTGCAGTGAGAGAGTTCCTATATATTACTGGTATTCATAAGATCTCTGTAGCCACAAGAGCTGATGTGCATTCTGTCTGCATTTTCCCTAGATGTGGAAGTCAGTAGTGGGGCACGATGTGTCTGTTTCTGTGGAGACACAAGGTGACGACTGGGATACAGATCCTGACTTTGTAGTGAGTATGGAAGTATTATGGGTCCCAATAGCTAGTGGGGGTTCTCTGGCCTCAGGAAAAAGCTATTGGGGTTCTAAAGAATCTCCCATGCAAGATATTCAACTGTCATGGATGGAGCATGAAGACTCCTTGTCTAGCATTGACAGTAAAGAGTAAGGGCACAGAGAAGGAGCAGTTGAATGTCTTGAGAAAAGCAGAAGGAGATCATGTCCCTTTGGCATGGGATCTAAGGATGGGCTGAGGTTGGAGAAGAGGGAAGGAAATGGAAGAGGGAAAAGAGATATCATTATGTAACTTCTCTTGGTCTCATTATTTTCATCTATAAGATGAAGAAGTTAAGCTATATGGTTTCTAAGGTCCCTTCTGGTTCAGTATCTGTGGTCCTATAAATGTGAGAGATGAGAGTCTTCCTCTATCAATAGTCATTGATTAGACTTTAAACTGGAGAAAGGTGGGGTTAGAGCAGATGAGAGGTCTCTAAAGAGTTTCCTAGCAGCCAGAGACCGTAAGGGACATTCCTGAGGTCTTGGTGGCCCCTCCTTCCTTTTGAACCCTTATTCCCAAAGTCTCTCTTTTACAGAATGACATCTCTGAAAAGGAGCAGCGGTGGGGAGCCAAGACCATTGAGGGCTCTGGAAGAAAAGAACACATTAAGTAAGTGTCAAAGGACAGAGTGGACGGAGGATGGATGGGGAGCACCAGGGAAGCTTTGGGCCTCATGGGTGGGTGGAGGATGACAAAGAAAAGAGGACACCTTTGTGCCTTTTGTCTTGAGAGTCATGCAGTAATATATTGTATGAGGTGTCCCAAAGGTCTCACTGCAGCTTTAAATTTTAATAGCTTATGTGATGGGCCAAGGTAGCAGGTGGGGATTCTCTGGGCTTAGGAAAAGGAAACTAGGATCCTAAGCAGTCTCCCATGGTGGGGCTGACTGGCAAGATATTCAGCTGTCATGAGAGGGGCTTTAATGTCTGATAATTTAACGAAATCATTTGGAACACTTTGTAAACAATGTTTGTTTTTTCTGACTCTGTGAGTTCATTGATTGTCTGGGCATCCTTCCCTGTATCATCTTATTACTATTTTATATCATCATATTAGTATTACTATAATACTACTTATTACTTATTACTAATATTACATATTACTATCTTCATGCCTTCTTGGTTGTTTCTTCCTTTTCTTTAATGTAGGCTCTACCATGTCATCCCCCTGCTCAAATTCCAATGGCTTCTTGTTAACTCTAAGGCCAAATATAAACTCCGTTTAGCCTTTAAAGCCCTTTACAACCTTATTTTTTTTCAACTGGAGGCAAAAGTTTTTATTTCAATAATCAGAAGAATGCTATAAAGGGAGCGAATAATTAATCTAGACATGCTCCTTTATCTGAAACTACACCTAGATGGAATCATGACTGGTTAAACATTTGCAAAATTCAGGCGTGTCTTTCAGTTCCTGAGTACCCCAAAATTCAGGGTAAGGTAATCTCATTACAAGACTGGCAAAGGAGGGAAGTATCAAGTTCACTAGGTAATTAAGCTAGGCTTCTGCCTCTGAAGGCCCATAGCCTCTCAGCATTGCCTGTTGAGGCCTAACATATAGGGTATTTCCTGGGACATCACCAGTCATCTTGACTTTTGTCTTGCCACTGGATTCAGATGACTGGAGGAAAGAGTGAGAGAGACAGAGACAAAGAGAGAGCACAGCGTAATAGGACTGTGGTCTTGACTTCTATTCCTCATGAAATTGTAGAATGTATTCTTAAATGGATGGTCAGTGATCATCAAAAAATGGAGCAATGATCACAAAGTCTGCATTCCTTCATTGAAGACAGGTCTTACTGAACTGATTACAGGATTTCTAGGCTAATAAACCGAAAGAATTTTGCACCTTAAATTTTAGCAAAACATTTGACAAAGTTTTCTCGTGTGGACAAGATGGAGAAATGTGGGATAAAAGATAGTCAATTTAAGATGGGTCCGGAGCCAGTTGAATGGTTGAATTCAAAGAGAAAGTCATTAATTATTAAATTTTAACTTGCTTGGCACTGTGCTGTTTGACAAAGCTAGGAGGTATAAATATATACATTTGGTGACAGTCAAGATCTTGCCTCACCGACCCTGCCACCAATACCAATTGTATAAAGCATTAGGCTATATCTATTAAGATAAAATTTAATAGTAATAAATGTAAAGTCTTACACTTGATTTTTTAAAAATGTAATTTAACAAATTTAAGTTGGGAACACAGGGGCTAGACAACAGTTCATCAGAAAAGATGTCTGTCTGTATGTCTATCTGTCTGTCCATCTGTCCATCTGTCCATCTATCTATCTAAAATATATGTCATATGATGAAGATGCAAAGAGAAAATGAAAAAGCCCCTATCCTCAAGGAGTTTTCCTGATCCTAAGTGTGAACAACATGTACATAGATAAAAATGTATAAAGTATACATATAATAAAGATATAAATATTTAATATATAATATAAATATAGAAAATAAATATAATAAATATGTAAATATAAAGTTTAGAAATATAATATATAAGTATAACATAAAATATCATGAATACTTAACATATAATACAAATATATAAAATAATAAGCATATAAAAATAAATATATAGCCTTTTTTTTAATGGTGGTGGTGGTGGTTGGGGAAGTACTAACAACTTGAGAAGTCAGGAAAGGCCTCTCATAGGAGGTGGTGCTGAAACTGAAGGGTCATAGAGATTGCAAAGGCCAATGTGAGGAGGCAGAGGAGGCCAGTAGCCTGTGCAGAGGGCAGGAGATGGGTTATTATCTATCTCCCAGGAAGAGCAAGGTGGCCAGTGTGCTGCAACATAGAGTTAGTGAGGGATGATAATATGAAATCAATCTCAAGGGATGAATTAGATTGTGAAGGACTTCAAATAAAGAGTGGAATGAGGAACTGACAAATGTGCAGGGTGCCTTTGATGCTGCTCCCCATGGTGGAAGAAGCTGGAAAGAATGCTTCCAGGAGACAAGTGATGACATGTAATGGAGGTACCTTGGAGGGACATGGGAGTATATGGAGAGATTCTGTAACTGATGCTTGTGCCAGTTCCCTGCTACAAAAGCACAGTAGTTTGTATATCCGGAGTTACATGAAGTGAGTTACATGGTTAGAACTGTGCTTTAGAAATGTCAGTTTGGTAGCTATGTGGAGCACAGGTGTTAAAGGTGAAGTCTAAGGGCAGCATTGCAGGAGGCAGCACTCTCCAGTGAGGCCAGAACCAGATTACAAACCTACTTTACTTGCTGAAGGAAGAATAAGACTTTGGGAAGAAGCCAACAAGAGAGGAGCTGGCAGTCTCTGCCTTGTCCTTATTCCCATGTCAATAACACTAGAGACTTTGGGAAACTTTCCCTTGGGCGAGATCTAGGATTCTGTCTCTGGGTTGAACTGGGTTACCTCACTCTCAAATGGGAGAGTTCCTTCACTTTATTGTCTGATATGTATTCTCCTTTGCATACTTTCTCTGATTTCTGTTTGGCTATTAAACTGGATAAAAGGATTTCTTTTTATCTATTTTAACTGGGGAAGGGGATAAAATAAATGTAATTGGGAAATATTTAATAAGATAATTAAAAATATAGTAGAACATAGATAATGTTAATATCTAATTTTCTAAGGAAGAGATCCTTATGTATGGTTTAGTGGCCCTATTTCTATTTGAGGTTAACTAGTGTGGAGAATGTGTTAGAGAAAGGAAATACTGGAGACAAGGAGATCAGTTATGAAGCTATTGTAGTAGTTTAGGGGAGAGGAGATGTGTTTAAACCAGGGCAGTGACTAAAAAGAAGAGGAAGATTATGAAAGATGTCAAGGAAGTAGACAATAAAACAAAAATTTTAAAAAACTTCGTAACTTATTTGTTCGAGGGAGTGAGGACTTTTTATGTGTAAAGTGAGGGTATAGGGTAGATGATTTCCAAGGTCCTTTCCTCCTCTAAAGTTCTATGATCCTTTTTTTTTTGTCCAATTAGACTCCTCTGAATGGGAAATAAGCATTTTCTCTGGATATCTCTTTAGCCTTTATCTCATTCATCCTTGTGTCATAGTTATATTGTCCTTGTCATTTTCTTCATTGGAATATAAGGTCCTTGAGAGCAAGGCTTACATCATATCTACCTTTATAGTCTAGTGCTGAGTACATAATATCTTGTACACAGTAGACAATATAAATTTGTTGGAATAAATTGAATTGAGTAGCAGGGAAATTAATACCAGAATAGCTCAAAGTAAAAAAAATACTTATATACATGTCAATAGAAGAATTAATACCAGGTGATATGATTAAGAACCCATTATTTAATATTTCTAAGGTACTAGGATTTGGATGCCCACACACTAAGAACTTCCCTCTACCATAACACCCACTTTTTACTCACCTGTAAGTTAATCTCTCTTTAAGCTGATTTCTCTCCATAGAACAGACTAGCTTTTCCTCTAGTGCCCCTGCAAATAATTATGAAGACACATTGTCATAATACATGATACCTACAAAGTTATTCGTTCATTCATTCTTTCATTCATTCATTCATTCATTCATCCATCCATCCATTTATTTATTCATTCACCCATCCATTCATTTATCTGTCTTGGGATCTTTCTGATAGGCTTCTGTTTGGAGGTGGTAGAATAATGAGGGACAGGAGAGAATGAGAGACTAGAGTTTAGACTGGGGAAGGGGACAAGAAAGGATGATGGAATAAGAATGGAATGGGAAAGAGAAGGAGAGGGAGAGAGAGAGAGAAAGAGAGAGAGAGAAAGAGAGAGAGAGAGAGAGAGAGAGAGAGAGAGAGAGAGAGAGAGAGAGGGAGAGAGCGTGTTTTGTGTGTGTGTGTGTGTGTGTGTGTGTGTGTGTTTAGGGTGTAGGCCAGAAAGCAAACCCAAGGGTATGGATATAGAGAAATTGAAAATAGATGGGGCTTGGATGGGAAAGAATGGAAAGCAGTTAAGTCTTTTTACCCTTCTAGAGTTTCTCTAGTAACTCCCATTCCCATCCCATGGCCCAGCTGTGGGTTTGAGTCATATTCTCTGTGTGTGGCAGCTGGCAAAGGCTGGTGCTGATGCTAGTAGTCGTCATCTTAAGTACCACACAGTGAGGGAAGGTCTGGTGGGAGTGGGGGATGGGGAGCAGTAACTTGCAATGCTCTCATGACTCACAGCAGGAAAAGGAAGTGGTAGTCTCTTCTTCTAACCCTCCCCCACTCCAGGACTTGCTTTCTTTCTTGACTAAATTTAGTCATCATTTAGTGAGTTGCGGTTACAAGATGGACCGTGAGCAATTCATTCCTCTGTCAATCTGCCTACACATTCCCTGCTATTTGTTCAATTTATTGAAGAGAGTAGGTTTGCCATGATAGGCTCAGATGGGCCCCAGAGGTCTGTCTTTTTGGGAGAGACCATAGGATTATAGATTTAATGCTGGAAAGGATCTCAGAGGCCATCTACCTCCTTCATTTTTGTTTTCCTTTGCTTCCCTCCCATTGACCAGTTAAAGCAGACTTTAATAAATTGACCTGGGAAACATCTTTAGGAATCCCATCCATTTTTTAGGCTGGTTCTACACTGGGATGTGATATGGGAAACCTGAATGAGCTGGCCTCTCCCACTTTGCAATGATAGCTGCATCTTATAATACATGGAAAGAAAGTGATTCCTAAACCAGTCCTCCAGCCACCTTTGTCATGTTCAGGATGACTTTGGATCAAATCCCACCTGCTACATACCTGCTATATGACCCTGGCCCAATCTCTTGATCTCTCAGTGCCCAGGTGGCAACTTTCCAAGACTTTAAGTTGTAGAACAGTTGCTAACCTATATTGACAGAGGAAGTCTCCTTATCAGGGAGCTCCCTATACCAATGAAATCACAGGACTGGACCATTATTAGAAAGGCCGCTAGATGGTGCAGTGGCTACAGTGTTGGACCTGGAGTCAGGAAGATTTGAGTTCAAGTGCACCCTCATACACTTAATAGCTGTATCACCCTGGGCAAATCACTTAACCTCTGCCTGCCTCAGTGTTTTCATCTGTAAAATAAGGAAAATACCTCCCAGGTTTATTTTGAGGATGAAATAAAGTATTTAGTAAGGCACTTTGTAAATCTTAAAGTGTCATGTAAATGCTGGCTATTACTATTACGTAGCAGAAGAAGGTTTGGATTGGAAGTTAGCAAATTTGGGTTCTGGTCCTAGTTTCACCACTGACTTGTTATGTGATCCCTGAGCAAGACTTCATTTCCCATTTCTGAAAAGGAGATTGTTAATATCTGTCTTGCTTGACTTAGTGGGTGTTGTGAGGATCAAAAATCAAATATATGAAATTACTTTGAAAAGTATTAAATACTGCTAGAGATTCATTATTATGTAACATTTCAAATTCCAGATTTAGCTTTAGGTTTAAAACCTAATTTCCTGGTCAAAGTGATCAGTTCAGTATATAAAACACAGCCTAATAGCTCAGGGGCCTTAAAGGCTCTCTAGTTCAACTTATATTCTGGTGGAAAATTCTGGTAAATGTTTAACAATCAACTCTGAAAAAAAGCAGGCACACTTTTAAGTTTAATTTGCATTAATAATATTTTCTCCATCATTTTCTTAAACCTAGACAATCAACAAAACAATCAAATCAAGGCTTGATTTGTAGTGTTTGCTGATTTCTGAAGTATAACTGCTCACTGAAAATTTAACAATTGGCTCTTTTGAGCCGGCTCCAGCATATCCCTGCCCATATCTGAATAAGAATCCCCTAGATTTTCACATGCCCTATAAATGATCATTCAGCACCCAGTCTCTACCTAACAGATAGAGAATCTAGTATCTCCAGAGGCAAATCATTCCATTTTGGGATAGCTTTCATTGTTAGAAAGTTTTTTTTCTGTACATTAAGCCCAAGTCTGCCTCTCTCTCTCCAACTTCCATCTCTTATACCTAGTTCTGCTCTTTGTGACAAGATCACAGTCCTTCAAATACTTTGAGACAATCACCACTTCTATACTGCCTTCCTTTCTCTTGTTCCTTCAGTGGGACCACATATGACGAGTTCTTGAACCACTTCACAATCCTGGTTGCCTTCTTCTGGATACTTTCCAGATTATGATGAACTTCAAAAAATGAGTAATCGAGTTCTGAATGTAATACTATAGGTGGTTGACTGAACAGGGCAACAAGACTATATTGGGTTCGTAGTCTTGTATTCCATCTTTTGATGTTGTTGTTCAGTCATTTCAGTCATGTGCAACTCCTTGTGACCGCATTTTGGGGGAGTTTCTTGGCAAAGATACTGGAGTGGTTTGCCATATCCCTTCTCCAAGTAATTTTACAGATAAGGAACTGAGGCAAACAGGTCTAAGTGACTTGGCCAGGGTCACATAGCTAATAAGTATCAGAGGCCAGATTTGAACTCATGAAGATGAGTCTTCCTGATTGCAAGCCCAGTGCTCTATCCCCTCTACTCCCTAGCTGCTCTATCTTTTGATGTAGCCTAGGTTATTGTTAGCTTTGGGGATTTGTCAAGGTTGCTTGCTTCTTTTTAAGTGGGAATTGAATTCCTTGATGGACTGTTAGTGCTAAGCTGTGGACGTCTTCTCCAAGGCCATTATTCTTCCTATGATGTCTTTCCTGATGACAGGCATAATAAAGCATTGAACATTGTATTGATGAGCAGATATTTTAAAGTGTTTGAAGGTATTTTTTGGAGTGCATATCACCAAACATTTGGTACGTTCTGGCAGAATTGCTAAAAGTTCAAACTCTCTGAGAGTATTGTATGTTTCAATTTCAAGGCTAAAACCAAGTGTGAATTGAGAATATCAAAAGGAATGCTAGAGAGGAGAAGGACTGGAAGCAGAAATACCAATAAAGGAAGTTATTATAATAGCAGGTTAGAGGTGGTGAAGGCATGATTTAAGTTGCTAGCCATGGAAAACAATGGTTTGAATAGTAGAGATATTAGAAGACTTAGAATAGGAGATGTTAAAAGATGTAGAAGCCACGAGACTTGGCAACTGATTGAATTAGGGAGTGATGTGCAGGGAAAAGCCAAGAAACCCTTGGGGATATGAACGTGGATGATTGGGAGGATAGAGATTCTCATGACAGAAATAGGGACGTTTGGAGCAGGGTTGGATTTAGGAGCAAGGCAGCTCATTCCATGCCTTATAAACAGCACTCTTCCTCCTTCTAGGATCAATTGAAGGAACTAGGAATAGCTAGCCAAGAGAAACTTCATGGGGGTACAAGTGGAGGTGGGAGTGGTGACATGATATTGAATATTGAAATATTTGAAAGGTTTTAATGTAGAAGCATTAGACTTATTCTGATCTTCCCCAAAATGAAGAACTAGGACCAGAGGGGTAGAAGTTATGGGAAAGGGGATTTCAGCCAGGAAAAAGGAAAAAAAAACTTTCTAACAATCGGAGCTGTCTAGAAATGAGATAGACAGCTTTGGGAGTTCATAAATACCCTGTTGCTGGAAGCTTTTAAGCAGAATCTGGATATGCTGTTGTCAAGATGCTACAGAGGGGATTCATGTTTCAGGTCAGAGGGAGCCTGATACCATTCCTTTTGTTTTGGTGAGGCAATTTGGGTTAAGTGACTTGCCTAGGGTCTCACAACTAGTAAGGTCAAATATCTGAGGCTGGATTTGAACTCAGGTCCTCCTGACTCCCTGATACCATTCTTTGATGTAAATAATACATCTGAAGTTCAGCTTCACATTTTGCCCACCTAGTGACTATTAAAAGCAGTAAAATAATGCATTTTTCTTGTCTTCTCTCATTTCCTAAGGTAATTTAAAAGACGTTATTTTAAAAACCAACCAATAACTTCTCCTCTTTAAAAATTCCAGTATCAGATTATCACAAATAGATTTTTTATTTATTTTTAGGCAACTGGGGTTAAGTGACTTGCCCAGGGTCACACAGCTAGTAAGTGTCAAGTGTTTGGTGTGAGGCTGGACTTGAACTCAAGTCCTCCTACCTCTAGGGCCAGTGCTCTATCCACTACAAATAAATTTTTTTAAAAGCATATGTGTATTGTTTATAAGCCTGAAACACTTTAAGTATATTTCTGAATTTGGTTTTGCATTTAGATTCTTGGGTAGGATAAAAAAAAATAATATAGTACTCACAAGCTATTTGAGTGCAAGACAGTATCTAAATCCATTTCTAAGTCAGGTGAATTCTACATCAGTGAACTGAAAAGCAGGGCCAGAATTTCGCCTGCTATTTTTTCTTACTGACATGTCAGTATGACCTTTATAAATGACTCACCTGTACCATCTCAGGCTTCAATTTGTTCTATTTTTTAGCCAAATCTCATCTCATCTTTGAAATCCTGAAATTTCTCCTTTGCTCTTGAAAGACCTTTATTATCAGGTCAAAAGGAATTTTAAAGCTCTCAGACTGAAAGAGTTTGAGACAGAGGTTTTTCAAAAATAAGTAGGCTAGAGCCTTGCTAATACTGGCTCAGTGGATAAAGTGCTCTGCCCCAAGTCAGGAAGACTCATATTTCTGAGTTCAAATTTAGCCTCAGACACTTCCTAGCAGTGTGACCCCGGGCAAGTTACTTAACCCTATTTGCCTCAGTTTCCTCATCTGTAAAAATGAGCTGGAGAAGGAACTGGCAAACCACTCCAGTGTCTCTGCCAAGAAAAACCCAAATGAGGTCATGAAGAGTCAGACAAGACTGAACAACAACAACAAACTATACAATCTGTCATCGTGTGGATCTATGTGCACCCCAATATTTTAACTTAATTTTTCCCTTTTGGTGCAGTAAAGTCTTGCCTCTCCCTTCCCTAGGTTGCATACTAGTAGGAGGTAGGTATCCTTGGGTCACTTTCTAAGTACCTAGAATCAGGGTCACAGGATAGGCTCTTAGAAAGCATTTAACCCCATCAATCCCATTTTATAGATGAAGAACTCAAAATCAAGACAAGTGCAATGATTTGCCTAAAGTTACACAGCTAGTTAATTCCAGAGCTGGGGCTCAGGGCCCCTGACTCCCAAACCAGTTTTCTTTCCGTAGTTCAGGTTCTGGGCTGTGCTGGAATTGGGTATCATGAACCAGA